AAAACTTTTGAATGTTCATTTAGTTAAAGTGACTTCATGTAACATACTTTTAATGCCTGGGCTTACTTTCTGTGCTGCTAATAATAGCTTGCATGTATAAACCTGGCAATGCAAATTAAATAGAAGGTTACTAGTGAGGCAGAGGGGCTAACAATCTGACATGCAATAACTAGAAACTTCATAACAGTCCTGGAGAGGAAGTTTTTAACACTCATTATTTTCTCACCATCCAGCTTAATTCTGGAGACCCCATTCAGTCTTTAGGTAGCTCAACATTCCCCTTATTGCTTACAACACTAATGTGGAAGTTATGATATCAGAAACTCAGGCTGCTGGCCCTCACAAAGTTTATAGCCCCATAAAAAATATCACATTTCAGAGATCAGAACAAAGTTTTCTTGTTTTTTAACATAGACAAAATGAGTTGGGGGTGGTACTGAAGAAGCTATTTCTATGCTCTTTGCTGTTGTAAATTTCAGAAAGCAACCAGTCGAGTTCACAGCATCTATGAATGGGATACTTCTATACTCATAGCTGCTGTAATCCCCACAGAGCCAGAAAGAGATTATATTACAAAGGACAATGAACTACTATAGCAATTGCTAGAACAAACTCCATAGAGAAGACAGAGTGCACAATGTTGTTGAACTGGTGCCCTCTGAAAGTCACACTCTTAATTCCAATATTATTTAGTAAATGTTAATTATTTCCAAGTCACAGAAATCTCTTTCAATGCATATCATATCATATCACATCACCATAGCAATTATTTAAGACCTCAACTGTAGAATCCCTAGCCTTTATTCCATAAAGCACATTTCCATGCACTTTAAACACTATTTTAAAAACTTCAAGGTCAGTTCTCTCTTTCTTTATTTGCCATGGTTCAACTGCTGTTGCTGCAGTAAAAGACATCACAGCTATCCAAAATAGCGAATATGAGATTTGCATGTTCATGATATCATTGGCTGTTAGAAGCCCTAAGTGTGACCCTGAAGGCAAGTTCTGGTATGCAGGCAATTAAGGTGATAGTGGTTTTCAAATATAATCTCTTCAATGGAGAAACCAACATTTCATTACCCAGGCAATACACAGTTTGTTTGTCTTTACTCATTACAGCACGTTCCCCAAAGGTAACTCAGCATTCATTCATATTCTGTCTCTCCAGCAGCCACCAGAACGTGCCTAGGGAAGGCCTATGGCACATAATTGACCCTAGAAAGTCTTCTTTAACAATAAAGTATTACTGCAGTGTATTCTTTTTAGTTTACATGACTAAGGTCACACGAGTAGTACAGGTGACATAAACATCACAAAGAGAGGTAAACACAAAGCATGATAGGTAAATTATGACCCTCAGTGATTTAAAAGGCTCCTCATGTGATGTACAAATACCTGTCTGCATTTCCTTCTATGTTATTCATATACATACATATATATACACACACACGTATGACAGGGCGAAGAAACTGGATGAGTTTGAAAGCATCTTACACACATTGTGGATTCCTCCTTGTCCAGCATGCATTTTTGGTTATTGTGGCATTAGCAGTAACAGTACCTTTGTGCATAAGTCAGATGTGTCCACCCCATTGCTGACTCAAAAGCGCATGGAATAAGTTAACTGGAACCCTAAAGTCCAACTACTGTGGATGAGGGACAAGGAAGATGTCTTGTGAGCATCTGATCCTTCGATTAAAGTCCTCAAGGAGTACCCAGGTGATGGGTTTTGTATCAAACATGCAAAGCCATCATTTGACATAATTCACTTTGCTCCATTTAACCTGCTGAATCCTTTACTATATCTAGTGCTTTAGCATGTCCAAGCAGAACTATGGTCCATCTTAAACATTTTCAGAAGACATGAGACAACATCTGTTAGACTTGCTGCTCTTCTTATAAACTGCCTTGTTGCCAAATGCCATTTGAATTTCTTACAGGTCAAATTCAGTAAGCAAACATTTCATCATCTCCACTGCATATTGGAATTGCAATTTTATATAGCAAATCCTCATTTCTGCTTCTGGGCACACAAAAGACAATTTCTTCTAGTTAGATTATAAGAATAGACATACTGCATCAGACCCCAAGTCTCATTTAGTCCAGTACCCTGTCTTCCACAGCAGCCAACAGCACAATGTTAAGGAAGGAGTAAAGAAAACAGAAGTATTGAATTATTTTACACACATGGGCATCAACCAACCATGTCTTAACAGCTTCCTCAGCTGGGGTCTCCTATATTGTATTTAAAAGCTGTCAGTGGTCCTTGACTTACTTTGTCTAAACACTTTGATACAGTTATCATTTTACATCCACAGAATTCAACAGAGATGTATTCAGAAGGTAAATGTAATTTTTTTTCTTCCTTTTATAAGCCACATCTACCTTGGTTATCTTAGTGTCGGATCATTTTCCTCAGGTGACATCATAAACAGTTATTCGTTCTTTGCCATCCTCACTCCACTCTTGAGTCTACTCATCTCTGATAAAACCCACTGAAAAACTGGTTAGAAAGTGCATATTCTGATTTACAAGGAGGAAAAACAACCAACCAACCACCATCAAACCCAAACAACAACAGCCACCACCAAAACAGAAATTCTCTTTGGCCTAACTAGCTTGCACCCCATGTAGTATCTCTAATGAAGGCTGCACGTTCATTTTTCTATTCTTTGAAACAGATTCAGCTGTAGGGCAGGGATCTGGATCTAGGACAAATTGTAGGGTTTTTTTTCCTCTGCCTTTTTATAAGAAAAAGTTGAATAGGATGGGAAGAATTTCTTTCCATTAGCAGAGCTGAGAAAGAAAATCCTTGGGTATTAGGTAATTTGTCTCAGGGTTGTCTGCCATCATTTTCCCTATCGAGAAAAAAATGCATCTTGGAACAAAAGAGAAATGCTGGTGGATGTCAAACATTTAGAGGAGAAGATCACAGGCTGCAGTGGAGATGGCAGGCCTGTGAGCAGTGCCAAGAGCAAGTGATGCATAAAATCATTAAATGTGAAGGGCTGGGCAACAGTGCCTAGACTTATCTGGAAGTTTAATCAGAGAGAAGAATTGCGAAAGAAAAGAATAGAGATGGCTGAAGGCTGCAAAGTTATGTGTTTGACCTTTTATAACAAACTCCCCCTTCTCCCCCCGGCCAGGAGCAAGGGTAAAAAAAAAAAAGAAAAAGAAAAAATTGCCCAGGTAATCTCAGTGCATTATTGTAGTTATTATTGAATGAGTGTAGACTTATTTCTCTCTGGTTTTCTCAGGAACACAGGTGTGGCTACAGTACAGGCTGACAGCTGTTTGCTCAATTCTGTCTCTGCTAAGGGAGACGGGCTTTTATTTTTAGCTTGCAGAAGATGCAAATAGCTTGCCAGAAATGCTCGAGCCAAGGAACATGTGTCTCTAAGTTACTAGCATCACTGGGCAGGCTTTAAATAGCAAAATTCTGCAATAAGATTGAATGATTTCCTGCTGGAGGACCTGCTGTAAGACAGGCAGGCTGCATCCCTTCCTCCTCCAAGTCAGTAGCTGCTCTAACATTCACCATACTCCATACAAATATGATGGGTTCTCAATGGACACAGACTGTGAAGATGAACACACTACCCTTAAAGAGGAGTACAAACCTGCTTTTCCGCCCATCAAGCTCCTTGTGGCCACACTGGGAGCTAAATGACAAATGAGCTTTGTCGTTCTGATCTTTAAATGCCATCTTCCAGAAAGCCTTTCCTACTCAAAAGGAAGACTTGGAGGCCCACTGAGCCTGAGTGGGACACAGTATAGCACAAGTTGGCTGTTTTTTTCCAAAAGGAGAAGGTGAGATAAAGTGCCTTAAAATGGTTGCTGTTGAAATTAATAAGTACACTGAGCTACAATTCTAACGTCGATAAGCCAAATAAAAATCATGGCAATCTGGTTCGAGGAAACATCAAGTTGTAGTTCAGATCAGTGTTTAGCATGTACCTGACAATCCCATTTCTACTTACAAAGAAGACAATGCCTCATGTGATAAATTAAAGCAAACACCGACCAATTACAATGGTGTTTTAGGCTGGTACATCACTTGCACTTCAAAAGTCATCTCACAGTTTTTGACTGCCTGCAAGCAGCAATGAGTCCCCATCACTGACAGGCACCCAGTTATGAAGGGCTACCACACAGGGTTTGTGGGAACCAAGCATGGAATGGGCAATCCAAGAGATCTGTTCACACTCTCAACCCTGGGTCCTGAAATGATTCTTGGTTAACAAGCACTGCCTGTATGAAATAACTTCAGGAAGGCAGCAGTGAATCAGGTTCTTATCACCATGCAATAAAAAGCCAGCTGCTCATACAGCACTCAAGCAAATTGCAGAAGGGTAGAGAAAGGGGCATGTATGTGTCCAAGGCAGTCATTCTTCTTTCCATTGTCTATCCAAAGGAGACAAGACAGTACTAATATCGAAAACTCTCCCATGTCTAACTTAAGAGGACATGGAGCTTTAAAAGAAAGTTTTGCTCTCAAGGGCAATCCTTACCCTCCATGTGAACTGTTGGGAGCTGAGTGCTTCCAAAATTCTGCCTCATGATGGAGAAAAGTAGGAACCAAACCCTCCAGACAACTTGACCTGCACCTCCTTCCTTACTCATGCAACCATTTATTTACTTCCATGAAGCAAACCCATCTCTACACGCTTTGGACTTCGTCAACCTTTTTCTATTGGCAGAACCCTCTTCACAACTTGCAGGCAATGTGTTCATGCAGTGTGATAAAGTTTAAACAAAAAAGTGTCCTGCAGGTCAGCCCATGATCTTCCTGAACATGCTATGAATCTTACCCATAACAACACTGAAACAGCACAGTCCACATTTAGCTCTGAATCACAGAGACTACTACTAACACAATCAATAGAAGTTTAGGAAAAGGTTCTTCCCTAAACTCCAGCACTGCATTGGATAGTGACCACACTAAACAGCACCCACCAGCACTTGGGTAAAGAGGGCAACTCCTTACCTTGCAGACTAACTTAGAGCTTCAACAGCTGGACCAAAAGATGCTTCAGATTCTTGCAACAGGACTTCTGAAACAGAGAGCAAAGAAAAAAAATTGCAATTTCTTATGCATAAATAGACATCTGAATACAACACAAGATTAATGAGAGTCACAGAAGTAGATTGGATGACATACTTTACTTGTAAAGGAATTTTCAGCAGCATGCTCCTTCTAATCTTTCACAGAAATGTGTGGGGATGCACAAATTGTGAAGTGTTCTTTGTCAAGTGGCATTTTCGTATCAATGGCCTTTGAAAGGCCTCCCATAAAACCAGGGATAAACACAAAAGGTTTAATCTCTTTTGCTTCCCCCAGCATTTACACAAGTGGCTGATATGCAGCCCGGGGTATTTTGGGACCTGATTTTCAGTGACAGAAGAGTTAAAATTCAGAGCCTCACAAAATTGAGAAAGATCAACTGACGCTTCTAGGAATAACAACTAGGATCTGTAGGGTTTTTCTTAATATTTTGAGGGATCTTAGGATACTAAGGGGTACCCTATAGGAATATGTTTTTTTTGTGAACACCAAGGTTAAGTTAGAGCTATGACTCAATTTCTCTCCTCCTTCCCCCCCCCCCCCTTTTTTTTGGCTAAGTAACACTATTTGATCTCTCTTCACCAGCAATTTTTTACTTATTCTTTTAGGGAGTACATTGCTAATCTAGTATATCAGAGAAACTGCACAGTGCCATATGCAGCATGAGCCAAACTGTTAAAAAGCATGAAAAGAAAAAAGGTGATTAAAAGCACTGTTGTTTCCTCCCTCTTACAGGGTAACGATTGAGGCAGCACACAACTCTGGGGGCAGTGGCTGGTGTTACCGTCAGTCCTGGGTACAAAAGCGACCCCAAAGTAGTTGTGTGCTCTTCTGAGGACGCTGCCCTGAGTCTGACTTCACATTCCAGCTCTGAATACACAGTGCACAGTGGGCTCTGTTTGGCCACTGGCTCTCCCTGCAGCTGTGCCGATTGCTCAGTGGGGAACATGTCTGTTCTCGAAAAGAATTTAACAAATTAACTATGAACAAAGTAGCCTGGAAACGACACAGATTAACACATGCTGTGTCATGCCAAGAAGCAGCTTGTCAGCTTGTTGTTTTCTCAAACCTGAAAGGAAAATTCCCAGGACCCACCAAAAATATGGAAATGTTTCCATGTTTAGCTGTGTTAGAAAAGAACACAATTGTTGCTGAGGAGAAATAAGAAACACACGGCCCAGATAAAAAGAGTGTATAACAGGACTCCTAGGAATAATCTGCAGCACAAAAAAGAATAAACATGGGAGAATCTGCTGTCTTTGTGTAAACTCCGCAACCGTGGGAGATGCTAAGGATGAATTTGGGAAACATCACCTATGTATTTTCTGTTAACAAGCAGAGAAGACAACCCAAACATGAAAGGTCATGGATGTTTAGCCCTCTTTGCTGCTATCCATGAAGGAATAGCTAACCACTTTAAGTACTCTCCTGAACATACGAAATGGATGTGTGCATTAGCTTGTAGCATACCTTTAGCAAATACAGATCTTCAGGGGGGCGCACCACAGAATATTCCAGATCTCTTTAAGGCAGAACAGATGAACCCAAATTGTGTTTATCATAGTCTGAGATAAAGTAATTATTAAGACATAACATAAACATTAGTTGTTTTTTTAAGCATTAGAAATATTGATAGGTGGATGAAAAAAATATTTAAGCAAAGCACTGCTCAGAAAAACGTAAGGTTTATCGCTTCTCTGCTACAGTAGAGGAGCTGCATGAAACAAGTTTTGAAAGTGATAAGTCAGTCAGAATGACGTAAAAAATAAAAAGGGCAAAATGACCACGTGCTTTCATGTTCGGGTAACCTTCTGTGATTCCCTTGAGGGTGGTGAGGAGCTGGAACAGGTTGCCCAGAGAAGCTGTGGCTGCCCCATCCCTGGCAGTGTTCAAGGCCAGGATGGATGGAGCTTTGAGCAACCTGGTCTAGCGGGAGGTGTCCCTGCCCATGGCAGGGAGTTGGAAGTAGATGATCTAAGGTCTCTTCCAACCCAAACCATTCTATAAGTTAAAATATACATGAAGACCTAAGAGTAGATGGGAGCCTTCTATCACCAGGATCCTATTGGCCCTGGCAATGGTCCCCACCATGTGGCTGTCTGGCTCAGGAGCTGTCCTGTGTTAGACACCCCAAAATGAATTAAAGCGTATGCAGTCAAATACTTTTAACATGCTGGCCACATATTATTAGCTTACTTGTTGGCCATATCCCATGCAGTAACAAACCCAGAATTTGCATATCAAATGGGCATTTACCATCTCTTTTTCAAAGATCATTTTGAAATAAATGGGTTTACTCAAAGGCATGAAGGTTTCTTCTGTCAATAGTGCTCAGAGGCTTTAACTCACCTGCACAGCTCAGAAGACTTTCATCAGTACAAAGAATCTGTTTTCATCTACCACAGTATTCGATTTCAGCACACAAAGAAGCAATATTTTACGCTGCCTAGTTTATGCAAGGTGAAAACAGATTTATTTTGATGGTGATAACCTGCAATGTTAGTTTTCCCCTATGAATGAGAAAGCTAAAATTACTCAAGAGTGTACTTGGTGCATGTGTCCTCTGAACTTATTTCTTTGCTTTCATTATGAAAGAGGTGAAGCAGAGAAAGCTCAATAGTTGGGAGAAGGTCATTTTGATGCTTTCTTTAATAACAACTCCTACCCTTGCTGTGGCTGTATAGCAGCAGTGCTTTTTTGTTTTGGAGCTGGGGGGGGGGGGGTGGCAACCAGTGGTTACAGATTAATCTTTCTTGTCAAATCCAGACCATATTTTATTTCACAGAATGAGGAACACCACCTTGCAACAGTTACTAGAGGCTTGGAGCTTCCCAATTTGAGGAGAGAAGGGCAATTTCACAGGACATTTCAATACAACTGCACATTTGGACTATTAATGTAGAAGCTAATGAAAACAAGGTCTAAAAAATAGGAACCAGCAGTGAGTCATCATTTTAGATATTCTTAGGTTGAATAATTTATTGTTTTCATCAGCCTGTTGCCAAAAGAAAACACACTGCAGTACCCTTTAGAGAACAAATACATTTTTCTCAGAAAATGAACATCTACAGAAACCTGGCATGAGGGAAACTGAAAGGTAACCATTTGGAAAGGACAAGAGCAAAGTAAATTAAAATTTCATCAATTGGACAGTGAGTTTCATCAGACAGCTGTATTTGATATTAGTCTATTTCCTGATGTATTTGAACTTGCCTGTTGAACTAACCAGAGAAGGACGTATGAAGTGCCAGCAGTAAAAGCCACTGGAAATACAGAGCTCCTCTTTGGCTTTCACATTGTTCATCGACTATCAGTGGCTTCTAAAAATGCAATTCCACAGCTATCAGTTTGTGATCATTTGGCCAGATTGCAGATAGTTTTGAACCTCGTTAAGAGCTCAGAAGTGTAGGCGTATTACAGTGTGTGCTTTCAGCCAGCCAAACCTTTCTGTCTCTAAGTAGGAGTAATTGAAGAAGCCACCCATCAGTTCCTACTCTAGTTAAACCTGAGTAACTAGTAGATATTATGCTTGCAGTGCCACACATCAAGGCATGTGAAGGAGTAGAGTGGAGTTTTCCACTGCCTGTTTGTGAATAACTTCAGGTTTGGGCCTCATGATATCTTGATCAAGTCACTACTGCTCAGTTTTTTTTCAGAAAATAACAAATTGATTGCTTTCAGTGGTGCAAACTGACTTATTTCATATTAAAGAGGAAAAGGTAAATTTATCCAAGATGTCAATCTTGCAAACAGTCTGCCAATGAGAAAATGAAACAGCATCCCAATGCATGATGCCCTTTTCCTTTTGTTCACTGTGGGCATTAACAACACAGGTGGATTTCAAGAGATACTGAAAGCACACCTACTAGGTTTCAATTTTTATTTCCTACACACAAGATGATGATCATTTTTGCAAGACAACAGGCAGCACATGTTTATCTGAGCACATTTGTAACAGGAGGCACGGCAGCCTTTTTCTTGCGGCCCAGAGTATGCTTCAAACACATGTAACAAGGCAGAATGAAAAGGAACAAAAGAAGCCTTGAAGGAATGATTAAGTGCTTCTGAATTTAGACAGTGAAATATGGACAGTTAAAATGTCCCAGCTATTTGCTTCTGTTCAGCTGCTGAGCAGTTTCAAACACACCATGGTGCAGTAAGATGAGTTTTGCATGCTTTTAGCCTGCTTGGGGTACCAAGGAGAGCGAATTGCCACAGAATCTCTATTTGCCAAAGCAAAAAGTATCTCATTAATGTATGATTAATAGCCATTTGTGAAGCAATTAATTAGTCAAGTTGACAGTAAACTTCACCAATATACATGCTTTTACAATGCTACAGGTTTGCTTTAAAACAAGTAGAAAAAGAAAAAAAGGTCCTTTCTCATTCTCAACCCTCTAGAAAGGAATGAAGGAAAAAAAAAGGAGGGGGGCTTTGCATATTCTGGTCTTGTCTGACTTCATCTGGTGTGTCTTTAAGAACAACATTGCTGGAATAGAAGCTCTCTAACATGATTGATGGCTTCTCTTGCTATCTGCAAGTTGAAAATTCAGAAAACGGGTATTTTTTCATAGGCCTCTCTGCTTATTGGCACAAGAGTTATTTCCACTTTGCTGCAGAATTGATTTGCAACACCAGCATATGAGTTTGTATATTTTTCTCACCAGCCTGTCATGAAGGATCACTCAGCAAGCCTTCGGTGGCATGATGAATTGTGGAAATGAGAGCCTCACGACTTCGTTTGCTATCAAAGACTAGGATAATTGTCATTAACTTCTGCAAGTAGTGGAGCATCTGCATCCCTGCTCTGGATGTCTGCATTTTGCAAAGCATATTACACAGCAGATGTACAAAGCACATACTGCCATGCTAATTTAATTTCATTCCAAGCAAGAAGCCAGACACCTTCCTTCAGAGAAAGCTGTCTTACCCCTCTAGTAAAAGAGCTTAAAGGCAGGCTTCTGGGTTGCATGTCAAATTGTTTTGATT